CTTAATGATTTTCTTGAGTCTCGTGTGATCAATTTTTGGCGGACGTCCAGTTTTAGGAAGCTCTTCCACTCTATTTTGTTGCAGAATGCGGTATACCGTCATTCGATGCATTTTCAGCAGTTTGGCAAAATCCGAAGTTGATCGTCCTTGTGCTCCAAGCTGAAGAATAGCGGCACGGTTGGAAGAAGCCTTCACCATTATGTCCAAACCTAAAAATTTGCTTAAAAACTGCTACATAATATAAAAAAGCATTCAAATTAAGAAAAAATAATCCTTTGGCAAGAAATAAAAATCAATCAGTTTCTTAAATCAATGTTACAACCTTGTAACCATACTTATGCCGCACCCTGTAAAAAGAATCACTCTGAAGAGACCAAAACTTGAAATCAGTAGAAGAAAAAGTTAAAAGTTTGCTATAATTTTAATAATATCTCATCCAGTAACACTTCTTACCGCCTTTTCTTCATGTTACGATAGTACATGTACTCATGTTACGATAGTACATGTACTCATGTTACGATGGTACATGTATTCATGCTTTGATAGTACATGTACTCAGGTTTCGTTAGTACATGTACTCATGTTACGATAGTACATGTACTCATGTTACGATAGTACATGTACTCATGTTACGAAATTAGCAAGACTAGGTCCAGGTCCAGGTCTAGGTCTAGGTTCAGGTCCAGGTCCAGGTCTAGGTCCAGGTTCAGGCTCAGGTCTAGGCTCAGGCCAAGGTCCAGATCCAGGTCCAAATCCAGGTCTAGGTCCAGGTTCAGGCCCAGCTCCAGGCCCAGCTCCAGGTCTAGGTCCAGGTCCAAGTCTAGGTCCAGGTCCAGGTCTAGGTCCAGGTCCAGGTCCAGGTCCAGGTCCAGGTCCAGGTCCAGGTCCAGGTCCAGGCCTCTGTAAAGCCTTGGTACTCATGTACTATCAAAGCCTTACTTAACGCACTACTCGTTCCTTCAAAGCTTTCAAGTGTGTACTCCTTTAAACCAAGAATTTCCAGAGTCCGTTACCCAATTTATTTCCTCATCCACATCACTCCATATGTTCACATTTCTTGGGTTTTCTCTTTCATTTCAACCGAACAAAATCTCAACGATATTAGAGATTATTATTTAACGGTAAAAATTTGATAAAATCTAATCTAAAAATATTCTCTAACAGTTAACATTTTAGCTTCTAGGTTCTAAGAGGCTAGAGAAAGTTAGAAGCAGGTTTAAACATGGTACCTGACAGCCCCAGGCCTTAGTAAAGCCGTTTAAACTGAGGTCCAGGTCCAGGCCTCTGTAAAGCCTTGGTCCAAGTACTTTGAAGCCTGACCAAGGCTTTACTAAGACCAAAGCCTGACTGCATTTTAGTCTGGTTTCTGCTTTGCCTGAAAAAATGGCCTCTGAACAGCCCTGGACTTGACTAATTGTAGTCAAATGAAGCCAGGACTCAGGTACAGTCCAGGTTAACAGGTACATAGTCCAGGTACTTTGAGAAGCCATAACTGAATAGCCAGGTAAAACCAAGACCTGCCGGAGTCAGGGATATTTTAATCTGAGGTTAGGCAGGAGCTGGAGCTGGACAATGTTAGGAGCTGGATTCAAGTCAAAAATCATAAAAGCCTCAGCCAGAAGACTTTTCCAGAAAATTTTTTTATTCCTTTTCGTTCTTCCTTTTGAAAAATAACAAATCCACTAATTAATCTATGGTCCAATTGCTAATTGATCTAGTATTTATTGTAAAAGTTATTGTAAAAGTTATTGTTATTGTTAAATCATAGCTCAATTCTTTCATTTGTTGATTACGAAAAGGAACGAAAAGATTTTCTGGATAGGCTTTTTGAATAAAACAAAAGCAAAGCTGGGTTTGTTTCGTTTGGGAATTGTTTGAGTTATAATGAAGCCAGGACACAGGCACAGTCCAGGTTCAGGTACCCAGGTTCAGGTTCAGGTACTTTGAGAAGTCATAACAGATAAGCCAGGTAAAACCAGGACGTAACTTGAAAAATTTAGGTTTATCCATACTTCAAGCAATATATAATGCTCAGCGACTTCTATGCTTTCACCCCAAGCATGGGTAGATTCGTTCTACTGAACGTGATCGGATATCAGCTATTCAACTTGTTCTCAATGACTTGTATGTTGTGGAAAATTTAAGAAAGAAGTAAAAAATGTACAAGAGTTTTTAGTCTTTGCCACGTTAAGCTTTGAATCGTTGAGAATTCAAGAGAAATTCATTGGGAAAAGTTCGATGGACAAAGAGAGAAAACTGATAAAAGCGTTGATCATCCAGGTGACTTTAATCCGTTTTCAAAACCCTCTTTCTACCGTAATCTTGTCTCTATGTCTTGTCTGATAGCTTGTCGCTTTTCTCTATATCTTGTCTCGTTTTACAGTAAACTAGTTTCCAAATCTAGGTCTCAATTCCAATGTTCACAATCGTCATCCCGTTCAACATTGGAGCCATTGTCTATTTTCTTGACGATGTTCAGTTAACGAGTGAGATCACAGTGTAGCTTTGAGCTCAAAATCGTAAACACACCATCCGATGCACTCAATTCCTCAAGTGAATGACGAATTCAGTGACTGGCGAATTCAGTGACTGGCGAGTTCAGTGTGCCATTGATGCTCATTGAATGGCGAATTCAGTGCACTAGAAAGCCGTGTTTACAAAAGCTAAGCCATCAAAGATCTCTTTCATCTCTCTTTCATCTCTTTTTCAGAATACTGTCCAATGATGTCATTCTTCATGTCACAACATGGTTTTGTCAATTCAATCGCTACTTTATTTCTTTATCGTCCATATCGTGAATATCTCAAGCATATTAGTCAAATTTTCTTCTGCAAAAAGCCAAGTTGGTTATTCTTAAAGACAAATTACTTCATTTAAATCGAAAATTTTAAAGATTCTAAAGCAGTTCTAAAACAGTTATGGAACATTCTTGAACAGAAATTCTTGATGAAAATCAAATATTCTTCAACAGAATGTTTTTTTGAACTTAATTTTTAAACTCCAACTATCTTTCGTATCTTTTCGAGAAGCTTTAAACATTTTGAATTCAGATTTTCTAATATCTAAGCATAAAATGAAAGATTTAGGCAACTTTTAAACAACTTTTAAACAACTTTCAGATAACATCTTTAATATTGTTTCATTCCACACATCGTCTCCTCTAGTGACAGTGACTGCAGTGAGATCAAGCACGAGATCACCATCAATTATTGTTTCCCCACCTGTTTGAATAAAGATAAAAAAAGAAGCCAATTAATCTATACTACAATACTTTTAGAGGACAGTACGAAAGTACGACAGAACGACAGTACGACAGAACGACAGTACGAAAGTACGACAGAACGACAGAACGACAGTACGACAGAACGACAGTACCACAGAACGACAGTACCACAGAACGACAGTACCACAGAACGACAGTACCACAGAACGACAGTACGACAGCACGACAGTACGACAGAACGACAGTACCACAGAACGACAGCACGACAGAACGACAGTACCACAGAACGACAGTACCACAGAACGACAGTACCACAGAACGACAGTACCACAGAACGACAGTACCACAGAACGACAGTACCACAGAACGACAGTACCACAGAACGACAGTACCACAGAACGACAGTACCACAGAACGACAGTACCACAGAACGACAGTACCACAGAACGACAGTACCACAGAACGACAGTACCACAGAACGACAGTACCACAGTACGACAGTACCACAGTACGACAGTACTAATTTGCATTTGCGTCTGGGCCATATTAGAAGCTAAGGCTTGTCAAAAACCGCACAAAACTCTTGATTCTTTGAAGAAGGCTCTGCATGGGATGAATTGGATCTCCCCTACTTGCGTGCCAAGGTCGACGACTTTCCGAAGCGCCTTCAACTCTGTGTCAACGCAAAAGGATGACTTTGTAGCGTATTTGGGAAAGATGTTATTACTGTTCATCAATGTTGAAACTTGTTTAAAAGATTTGGAAAGGGTGACGGAAGTCTGGAAGATCTGGAACGAGGACACCGCCAAATGACGAATTGAAGTAGATAATCGAAAGTGATTTGACAAAGACTACGCGTGAACTTGCGGAATATTTTAATTGTGTTCATAAAACCACGAAAACCATTTGTATGAATTGAGCAAGATTGATAAAGTTGAAAAATGGATTCCAAATTCACTAAGCGATGCAAACAAAGCCATCAGAGTTCGAAGCGGAGCATTGGTGGGGAGGTGGATGAAGAAAATCTCATTCTGAATAGTTGGTTTCTTTTTGGGGGTGGCGGAGATAATCAATAAGTACCTAGATTCTTTTTTTAATCAAATTTTACGTCTAATCATACTAAGTTTATCTCATTTAATTCAAAATAAGCTTTAATATCTAGCCATATTTCAAAATAAGCTTGCGTTTGTGCATAAATTGTGCATTATTTTCTTTATTGTGCAACCTTTCTTCTAAGCTTTCTTTCTATATAAGAAATCTTTCAATTAAAATTGCCATTAGAGTTCGAAGCGGAGTGGGCAAAGTGATTTATGCGATTCAGTTGCTGTTTTGACAAGCCTTAGCTTTCAATATGGCCCAGACGCTGTAGTCGAGAGGATTTAGGTCAGGCGACATGGGTGGTCATTCGTTGAATCCGATAAAGTCTGGAAAATTCTTGACACCAATCCTGAACTGAGCGGGCCTGTGAGCGGTTTCCTCGTTCCAGATCTTCCAGACTTCCCTCACCCTTTCGAAATCTTTTAAACCAGTTTTAACATTGATGAACAGTGATTACATCTTTCCCAAATACGTTACAAAGTGATTCATGCGATTCAGTTGCTGTTTTTTCACGTTTGAAATCGTACAGCATACAATTGCGAATAATATTCTTGGAGATTCGAAGCAAATTTCCTGATGGCTCTGATCTTGGATGGCTCTGATCTTTGATGGCTCTGATCTTTGATGGCTCTGATCTCTGATGGCTCAAAGAACTCTGATGGCTTTGTTTGCATCGCCTAGTGAATGTGGAATCCATTTTTCAGCTTTATCAATCTTGCCCAATTCATGCAAATGTTTTTCGATTGTTTTATGAACACAATTAAAATGTTCTGCAAGTTCACGTGTAGTCTTTGTCGGATCACTTTTGATTATCTGCTTCAAATCGTCGTTTGACATAGCCTGTGCAAATTTGCTGATGGCTCTGTGGACTGGTGGGTGAAGAAAATCTCATTCTGAATGATGGGTTTCCTTTTTGGGGTGGCGGAGATAATCAATAAGTACCTAGAAAGTCTTTTTTATCAAATTTTACGTCTAATTATACTAAGTTTATCTCATTTAATTCAAAATAAGCTTTAATATCTAGCCATATTTCAAAATAAGTCGCGTTTTCGAAAAGCTTTTAAATTAAAAAAACTGCTTGACTAAATTAGGGAAATTTTTTTACTATTAAGCTCAGAATTTTGTGAGCATTTTGAAATTGAAATCAAATTAGAAATAAATTAAATGTGGGAAAAGTTAAGGTAACTAAGTTGGCGAAAAATTGTTGAAACGATTTTAGGCATTTTCGAACGAGTTTTCAAACGGGAGCTGACGATTTCGGTTGTCATTTCAGGATCGAATTGAGGAGATGAAAAAAAATAGCAATAAACTTTTAATTTAACTTTCAATTTCAATAATTTTCATTGAAATTTTCATTACGCCTTTTGCCAAAACATTTTCCTTAAAAAGTAACTGTTTTTGGCCTAATTTGAGGGTGATTTTTGGATAATTGATGGTCGAATAGGGAAATTAAAAGAAATTTTTTATTTTTAAAGTTGGACAGGAAAGAATAAACATTATGAAAGGGAATAATAACAATTATGTTTGCTCGCCAAACTCTGCGAGTTTTTACTCGCTATAAACATAATATCATTTTTCTCATAAGCTTTTCCGATATAATGTAACCAATTTTGAGGTTGGACAATTTAAAAAAAACCAAAAATCAAAAACCAGTGTTATTTAACCAAAAACTTAACAAAAAAAACCATATAAATCATAACAACAATAACAACAGCAAACAACAACAAAACGATTCCTACAATACAAAAACCAACATTACTCAAGACATGTGTTGCCTCCTTGGGCTTCTATCGAATCTTTGATATATGGCCGCATGCCGCTGCTTGACTTCCATCTTCCTCGGCCTTGTAGAGCCTCTAGTGGTACTCCTCGTGCTGCTTCCGTAGATGCTCCGCCTGCGCGCAACGAGTGCGAAGTGAAGTTGGATCATACAAATTGTTTGAAGAAATTGGTTAATTCAGTGGCCGCAGCTCGTGGTTGAATGGGCCCATTCCTTCCAGGAAACACGTATGTTGAGGCGGCCTGTTTTTTTCATTTTACCAGAGTTGATTGGCTGGAGTCGCTTCATTGAAATTTTCATTACGTCTTTTGCTAAAACATTTCCCTTAAAAAGTCACTGTTTTTGGCCTAATTTGAGGGTGATTTTTAGATAATTGATGGTCAAATAGGGAAATTGAAAGAATTTTTTTGTTTTTAAAGTTGGACAGGAAAGAATAAACATTATGAAAGCGAATAATAACAATTATTCTTTAAATTCTTGTTATGAAAAGCTTTTCAAGAAGATTTCTTTACGTAGCCCTTCCAGTAACTTCTTCTAACTAAACGTTCTTTGTGCCCGCATAAACACTCGCCATCTGGCACATCTCTTCTTTTCTTTGGAGACGAATGTGCTTATCTTTTGTGCAGTTTTTCCAAAAATTCGGCTTCTGGCATTGGTGCGTACTTTGTGCGTACCCTATGTGTCGCTTGTAAGAAAAAGCGGCGTCTGGCACACGGTCTTTGCCAATACCGCGACGGAGACCACGCTCTCGGTTTAATTACCCAAGTTTAAGATTCGTATGCCAGACCGAAAACCTTCAAAGCCAGAAGCCTTCAAAACTCTCTCGAAATCGTGAAACTCAAAATTCAAAACTAAAAACCCGCTTCAGACACAATGTGCGTACTTTGTGCGTACCCTATTTGTCGCTCGTAAGAAAAAGCGGCGTCTGGCACACGGCCTTTGCCTATACCGAGACAGAGGCGCGTTCTCTCTCGGTTTAATTACCCAAGTTTAAGATTCGTATGTCAGATCGGAAACCTTCAAAACTCTCTCGAAATCGCGAAAATCAAAATTCAAAAATAAAAATAGTAAAAAAGCGTTCCCATTAAGGGAATGCAGAAAAATATCTAAGAAAATGCGACTTCTGAACTAATTACCCTAAAATTCTATAGATAAGAGCGGTTATCGCTAAAAAATACTTTTTCCTGAAATTTTGTTATGGACATTAATTTTTTTTTCCTTATTTCTATTTTTTTTTTGTTTTTTAACCATACGTCTTATATTTTTTATTTTAGAAATCATGCAACGTCGCAAGTCTTATACGGCGGCTTTCAAGCTTGATGCGGTGAAGCACCGGGATGCGCATGGAACATTAGCGGCAGCTATTCATTTTAATGTGACTGAAGGAATGATTAGAAAA